ATAACAGGAAGGAAGACTCGTTTGTAAGCACAGGGGGCACTATTTAAAATCTTGTTAATTTTCCAGAAAGCCAGTGATACAAATAAGCGTCAATATTTTATTTCACCTACAAGAGTCTTTTCCCCCCTTAAATGTGTGAAATGTTATGCTTTTGATTGAATGTGGTATAGCAAGGTTTTCCTGTCCTGATCTCAGAACTCCAAAAACGAAATCGAAAGTGTTCCGGATAGATGACATTGTGTTTAAAGCTCCGCGTGGAGATACTTAATCCATTACTATTACTTCTTCTTAGGGAGTGGCATAAGTACGTTTGTTACTAATAATAATAATTATCATTATTATAATCAACTTGTTTGTCCACTTAGAAAATTTAGTCACGTCAATCTCATTTTAGTATATAGATTTAATTTTAGTTAAAATGCTGCAAATATAAGAAGCTTAAATGTCAAATATTTAGGAATTTATTATTTCCCAGACTAATTCATCTCTTATAAAATCATGTCCTACTTTTATGTAACACCCTTATAACTGTGATTAACTGTGATGCTGTCTTCAGGGGTCAGTGTCACAGCGGTACAAGGAACACAGTGATGACTCCACTGACAAGAGGGCTACCGACAACACTGTGTCTCCGGCTAAGGTACATCGTGTTTAATAACAAAAAGCAAAAAGCTTTATAGATTGTTCTTGTAAAACACCAGATTGTGATGACTTGGGTAACCCCTGTCAATTCAGGATGAGAAGAGGGCGATCAGAAGAGTGCGAAGTCCATCCAGACCGAGGGCATGGTTGTCCACTTCTTACAAACCAAAGTTTGCAGGGCGGTTCCACAAGCCTCGGTAAGAATGCCTAGGTGGGAACTGGGAGTACTGATACCTAGCCTGAGAATCATTTTGTCTGCTCTGACATCTTTTTTTAACCCCTTAAATGATGCAGTTTTACAAGGGATGACCATGCATTCCACAAAGCCGGCTTTGGCACCCAGCGGCACCACCACACGAGCCACTGGGCTTACGTCCACCGGAGAGATCACTTCCATTCTAAACTTCACCACATTCCACTGAAGGAAAGGGTCAGGCTGAAGGAGCGGGAGAAGGAGAAGTACAAGCGGAGAGAGAGCACCGAAGGAAGCTCATCTCCAAAGCAAGAAAACAGTAAGTTCTACAGAAGAGGTCTGTGATAATACAGACGGTTATAGCACACAAACACGCTGCCTTTGTTTTATTGAAACAGTTACACAGACATAAAGTCAGGACTTGTGCAAGGTGTTTATTACATGTGAAGGTCATAAAAAATATACGTGAGGCCCATAAAGACATGTCTTAAAGACTTTGGCGTGGAACAAATTCGACTGTTATTAATAATTCAGCTTCCAGTATTCTTCTTGCTTGATTTCCATATGATGGAAATCTTAAACAAAAGCATTTTTTTTACATCTTTAAACTTTAAACTTTAGTTTGTGACTATCAGAAGGTGTGCATTAAATAACACTGATGTTAAAATACAGTGTAAGCTATGAAAGTCTGAAGTCATTACTATTTGATGTTCAAACAATCATGTCTGAAATATTGTAAACCACATGGTGTTAAGCTGAATGGATTTATTTGGAGATACTGTGGCTAATTGGGACAAAATTCTTGTAGTCAAGTGGAAAATCGCAGTCGAGGAATATGACGTTCAGCAATCGGATATCTTTAGATGTCAGCTTTCTTTATGGCCACGCCATTTATTTTCAGCACTGTCAGTGGGAGAACAGGCTCTTTTGTACTTGTAAATAGTGGTCAGGCACATGGCAGAGGTAGAAAAACACTACAAACCACTCGATGAAACAAATAACCCTCTGACACAACGAGAAATCAAGCGCTGTAAACATGAAAAAGATGTCACTGTCATTGCCTTCACCTCCTGGATTTCTTATCATGTTCACACATAATCCACAGTGTACTGCACAAGCTGTACATGTCCCTCTTTGCACTATAAAATAACCACTGGGTGGCAGTATAGGCAAGCAGAGGCAGACGCACATATTCAGAAGCACTTTGCATTACAAATATTTGGAGGGCATTTGCTCATTGTGTATCTGCTGGTTGGTAGGTAGTCACACTCTGGTAGCAACAAACCAACGTTACATAATGCTGATAACTAAGGAACTTTTATTGGACTCAATCGATGGATTATGTCATATGGCCTGCTGACAGTGTAACTGTGTGATTTAGTTAGTCAGATAGAACTGATTAATTACTTACTTCATCATTTTGTGAGATAGGAAGTAAATGGCAGAGGTTTAAAATATCTTGTGGTCATGTTCCGCTCAGTTTTAACACTAACTGTGAAGTCCACGTTTCCTGTTTTGTTGTTAGTATAAAGCGGTATGCTTTGTTTCTGTTTAACGGGTGAGCTACTGTATGTTTTTATTTTGCACGCAGGCACTGTATCTGCGTGCACACTGCAGCACTGTGGAGGTGTGTGTTTGTGTATGTGTGAGTACTGAACAGGTTTTTTTTGTTTTGTTTTGTTAGTGTGTGTGTGCGCGCCTGAGTGATGGTGCGATGATGGTGACTCATCGCTGATTTGTGTGTATATATGAGTGCGAGAGAGAGGAAAAAGAGAGGGAGCGACTAGCCAGCGGTATATAATGAGCCATGACAAAGCTATTGCCTCACATAGGGACGCTGCAGCCAAACAATGCAGTCCAAAATCACATAAATGTCAGCAGATTCTGCCAAAACTTTCTCTGATTCCAGATCCTGATACTTAGAACAAAAAAAACAAAACAAAGCAGAAGGAGGCATAAGAATAGCGTAAATGACGACTAAAAGATAGGGTACTCTGGGAATAGGAAAAAAAGGGGGCCCGATTTGGTATAAGATAGTGGACATAACATTTCTTTCCCCCTTCTGTTCTGTGTTGACCTCGTGTTTGCTCTGTTTTTCCAGCTACTAGACCTTTCACTTCAAGGTCCTCCTCCAGCAGAGACAAGGATATGCAGTTCACCGTAAGTTCACCTGTAAGAATGGTGCTATAGATATATATATATATATATATCACAGAGACTGGCATGAAAATGAATGTTTTATTAATATCTATTGCCACACTTACTTAATTTGTCTTTTTAAAGACTATTAATTAGCAACTGGACCAATAATGTGAAATAACTGTTGCTACCATCTCAAATGTGAGAATATTACTTATACATTTAACTTTGTTATAAGTTTGGGAGTATTTTTTGAGACAAAAATTAGTATTTAAAAGCGTTTTCTTGTGTTGTTTTACATTGTGAAGCGCTTGCTATTCAGTTTTTTAATATTTTGTATGTCGATTGAGTTATTACAGTCAAAACTGGCAGCTTAGTTGATAATAATGATCTAAAAAAAGAATCAATAGATTAAGCCATAGTGTGAATCTTTGGTTTTCTGTCATGTGTTTGTTGCAAATAAGGGCTTCCACTTGCAGCTCTTTTCATCGTCATATTATCTGCACACCGTTTTCCTCATTAAACTCCTGCTCTACAATGCCAGAAAGAGCTGAAAAATGCACAATTTCGAAGTAAAGAGCAAGATTCCCCCCTGCCCCTGTTTATCGATCAATTAAAGTAGTAACATGTGGGTGTCCGGGTAGATGGTGTGTTTGTTTGCTCATCCAACGTGAGCTCAGGGCGTAGACTCAAATGCAGAAAGCCCAGGTGCTGCAGAAAGGCCTGAAATCAAATAGTCGCATAAATCTCTTGGCTGACCTAAGCACAGCATGGAGCAGAGCAGCACATGATGAATCACAGCTGGTTGCTGCTGCAGTGAAGTTGAAGTGAAAAGGGAAGAGGTGGAAATGTTGGTGTTTATAGACCTGTAGTTTGGGGGTCACCACTTTGTAAGACTTCCGGTTAGAGACTGTTGTTCTCTCTCTAGTGCAAGTTTCTTTGTAGATTCTTTTTTTAAATTCACGTTAACAGCTAATTAAGTAAAAAGCCATATACACTTGTTATGATTGAGTTTCTATCATTATATTGTCTTTTATTTATTTTTTTGGGTTGGGTGGGGAAGAAGAGCTGGGCATCACCAGAGAGACCTTTTAAAGCGACATTTAAAAAGTTACTCAACAGTCACTTGAAGTTTTGCTCTTCACTGCGTCTTTTTCTGCGGGTTGTTTAATTGTGAGTACAAGTGTGGCCATTACTGAACTGCACTTCTTTGTTGTGTATTTCTGCCCCTGAACTCAGTCAGAAGAGTTGACAAATGAAGAATTTGCTTGCCTCTGTGTTAAAGGTTAACATGTGGCGCTACGCTTTATTATCTACCGGTCATAAGCAGCTCGTTCATCATCAGTGTTTGCTTCCATGTCATTGGCTAACTATCTGAATACTACAGCCCAACTGCTGCCTCTAATTTTCTTGTTTTTCTTCCCTTTGCTTTCTTTCTTTCTCCCTTTTTTTTTTAAAATTTCTGATTCGCCAGAGCAACAGGAATCAAAGCAGGGAGAGAGATCACAAGGGGACAAAAAGCAAAGAACGAAGCGGAGAGAGGGAGCTCCCTTCAACTGTGAGCCAGACGGCGGCACGAGACAGAGCCATCCAACAGAAGAGGAAAGAGATAGATGAGGTGGATGGGGTGCCCTTACACTCACACACACATGCACATTCACACGCACATACACGTGTTGGGAGAAGGGGTAGCTATAAACAGAAAAGTAAAGATAAGAAAAGCCGGGATTAGAGCGAGAGTGACGGAGGGAAGATCTGAGGAAAGCGCCAGGAGACGTGAGACAAGGAAAAAAGATTTGTTTGTTGTAGTATAAACATTAGATTTGAAATGCAGAGCCAGAGGCAACATGAGTCTTATTACTGGCTTCTCTTTGCCAGGCCTGACAAAGAAGGTTTTATTCACTATTTTACATGATAGATGGTGTTATTCTTTCTCGTTATTCTTATTTTTATTTCTCTAATTGATCCTCATTGTAAAGTGAGGCCGGCTCACCTGTATCACAGGCAACGTGCTTTAATGCTGCCTTCAATGTGACAGACGTCACTTGAGGTTCTGCTTATCTGTGTTTGTATGAGAGAGTGTACGCGTGCTTCCACCCACTTGACGGAAAAGATGGCCTCTTGCTTTTCATATCTCCATGGTTGCAGGATTATAGAGGCACTGCAAGAAAAAAACAGTCTGGCAACAGGTAGCTGATGCAAAAATGTCCACAGAACTCTGTACGCACACGTGTGCGCACATATAGATTGTGAGCAGTCAGCGTGCGAGCATTTCGGTGGAATAATCCATTCAGTGTAATTGAAAATGCACTCTTCCTTTCCTCCAACAATCCCACTTTGTCCCCCTCTTTGTCCTAAAACCATGATTGCATTTGTCTTTCAGGTGTACTATCAGGAGTGTGAAATGTTTGGCTTTGTAGTAAAGATGCTGATTAAAAAGGATCCATCTCTGGAGCGTCCCATCCAGTCCTCTTTACAGCAGAACCTCCGGGACATCGGCAAACGCTGCGTAGAAGCAATGGAGAAATTTATCGAGGACTACGACTCCAGGGAGCTGTCACACTGATCAGACACGCCATGCTGCCTGTGTTCTTAGTCTTTTAAAGTGCTGAGAACTTGATTTGATTTATTGCTGCTTTTGTTTTCTTATTTGTAATAATCTTGTGCATTGCTGTCTGCTGCTTGGATAATAGTCCCCTCTGTCTGCAGTGTAATTCTGAACACTGGTGAAAACGTTTTAATTATGCTTGTTATTTTGAAAATGTGCTGGTGATGATGACGATGCACTGGTTGTATTGCTTTAAAAGGTCTCATATAGACTGAAATATATTTTGACATAATTTATTTTTGCTTGCAATAAATTTGTTTACAGCATTTTAAACATTATGTGGTCCAAAAATATGCTCAGTGATGTGTTCATGGCTATATCGATCACTTCAGGTCACAGCAGGAAATACATTAATAGGTCAGTAGGTGACTTGGACACACTATTGTTTATGGTTTCAACACCTGTAGATTCTGTGATATTTGATATAGACCAGTGTTGCTCGTCTTACAGCCTGAATCACGGCCCCTCTGCCGATCTTTGTTTAGTGTACTAAATTGTGTGAAGAGGTTCAAGCTATGGATGTGTGAAAAAGAAAATAGACCCTCATTCAGTTCTAAGGTTTTACATATCAGGACATAATAATAAAAAAAAGCACCACCTAGTTTTTACCAGTTTCTAAAATTATTTAAATTTAACCTCAGAAAAATAACACATGACATAATAAACCATGTTATTATTTATTTAACAAAAATTAACCCAGAATCCAGAAGCGGTGAGTGAAAACCTGTGTGTACCATGTAATTTAGTAGTGTGTACAACCAACTTTATTAACGATAATCTGAATCTTGTTCTCTGTGACTTTGTTCAGTCTCTTATGTTGTCATGAACACTTTTTGTCCCACTCTTCGTTATAGGGTCGCTTCAGTTGATTGAGTTTCGAGGGCTGTTTTTTATATGCAGCTCTCTTAATGTCCCACCAGAGTATTTCAATCAGGTTAGATCATTGTCTTGTTGCATCACCGAAGTTGGAGCAATCTTTTGCTGTCAGACCGATGGTCTCACATTTGACTCTAGAGCGCTTTGCTATTGAACGAGTTCATGGTGGACTCAGTGACTGCAAGGTTCCCACATCACGTGGCTGCAAAACAAGCTCAAATCATCACCCCTCCATCTCTGTGCCTCGAAGGTGATATGCTGCATTTGATTTTCACCAAGTATGGTGCTGTGCATTTTGGCTAACCATCTTCACTTTGGTCTTGGTCATTTGTTCCACAGGTCTTGTGGTTTGTTCACATGCAACTTTACAAATCTAGAGCTTAGATTTCTTTAAATTACTTTTTGACCTTTATTAAATAGCACAGTGACGAGAGAGAGTGTGGGGGGAAGACATGTAGCAAGGGATCACATTCAGTCATTGCTGCACTCATATGGTCACCTGCTTCTGAGCTAAACTGTTGCCTCTCCTTTTTTATTTTTAAAGAAGTCTATTTCTACTGGCAACCTTTCTGAATGAGCCAAGCTTCAGTCTTTTTTTTTTTTTTTTTAATGTACTGTCATGAACTTTAATATTTAACAAGCTACCTGAGGTCTGAGATGTAGGTCTTGGGTTTGTTGTCATCTTTCTGATCTTTGGGTGAATTTGTTGGGAGATTCACTTGCGGGAAGACTGGCAACTCACTTGAATGTTTCCACTTTTAAAACTCCTTCTCCATGTGTACACACCTGAATGCTCCAGACTTGCAAACTGCCAAAATATCTGCTTTTATAGAAGCGCTCACACTGATTATCACACTGGCTGATGATCAGCTAATCAGCTGCATCTGATGAGCAGCACTGGCTCCTGCTTAAACTGGAAGCAGCGAGGGTATAATTTATATTTTACAGAATACTTCTTCACTACTTTGGTTTTGTTAAACAATGTTTCAGCATAATATGGTTGTGTTTACCTATGTAAAACATTAAGAGTTGAAGGAAGATGTATTTTCTTTTTATCGTGACTGTATATTTGATGTAATCAAAGTATTCAAACCATTTCCAACTCAATTATAGTTGTAGCTACTAAAATTCATATACTGAATCTTATAGGTCTATTGTAAAAAACTAATGTAGTTAATAGGCCAAATTTCAGACCTTTTTATGTTAGAAATTTATTTTTTTTGTTTATTAACTGGTCCTTGTTATATTGCTGAAGTGGCCAGTGTCAAAGTATTTCTGATTTACTCTGTGACTCGAACACTGACACGGCTCAGGCTGGATTATCACTGAAGTATTGATATTCATTTAAATGTGACCAGTGACAAGAAACTGCAGCACAATAATGCAAGAGATTCATTTTAACTTTTTTCAGGAGCAACCCAGGCGCTAGTGTAACAGGATTAACTGTAAAATGTCGAGCTCTATATAAAGTCTTGAGTCACCCCGTTTTTGGTTTTTTTTTTTTGGTTTTTTAGATTTTGTACAGTTCTAAGCTGCCTGAAAGTCAAACTTTTGTGCTTGAGTCATGAATGAGTCATGGATCAGTGGCTTAACAAACAAATAAATGAAAGAAATTCCTTTAAAAATGGTCAAGTACAAGAACTGGACTGAAGATAAAGTAGCCAATATTTAAAAAAATATGAAAGACCTTAAGAAAGCTTGGAGAACTCTTGCTCAATACCATTTCAAAAATGAAAAGAAATTCTGGCTCCTTGAAAGCAAAATATAGAGAAATGAAAGGAGGCCCCAAACTGCACAGTAGACTGAACCAAAACATTATAACCACTCAGCTCAAGTCATTACCTGGTTATAACGGCGCATTTGAAGGTCTGGAATATATTAGAAGGTAAATGAATGCTCGGTTCTCGTAGTTAACCTGTTGGATGTGCGAGAAATAAGACAGTGAACTTCTCATTTCTCAGACTCCTCCCGGACTGTCGGGTCAGGACACTTGACCTGCTGTGGAAAGGCTTGTGGTGGTTATTATCTGACTGACAGTAACACTGCTGTGGAAGACACTTGATGGAACGTTTATTCAGCAGAACTTTCCTTGCAAGGAAAGTTACTTTTTCTTTAGGAATGGTAGAATGGCTTAGTGAAACATCCTCTGAACTCAAAACCACTTTAACCAAAAAAAAATATTCCTGGTTGTTCATTGACATACACTTTATTTTCAGTATGAGACAACAACAACAAATTAACATGCAAGCCTCCCTATCTCTACATCATGTTATACAAATAATGGTTCTTTAGTTACAAAATATATAAATATTTAAGACCATATGTACAGGACATTTACATTACTACATCCATTATTAAAGTTTATTACTATATATACATCTAGTAGGTATTATTCTTTAATATTCTTATAGTTATTATTTGTGTTATCATTATTATTGTTAGTGTTATTAGTGGTAGTATTAATCAACTATAGGTAACTCTCAAAAAAACCAAAACAAAGCATGTTGCAGAAGAGAAAACGGGACCATACCTGACGTTACTGTGCCTGAATGGTCAAGGAGCAGAGGCTGTCTGGCGCTCTGTCCTTGGTGAAGCAATGGAGAGCCGGCTATGCAGAGCACAAGGTTTAAAAGACTATTTGTACAAGGTGATAACGGGGCTAGCGAGCCAACACTATATTCCAGCAGCATTTGGATTCCACTGAGGTAAACAATGACACAGCTTGGAATCTAGCACGTAGCTTGCACTATCCCAATACAATTTCTCGTTTGTCCACACAGAATAAGTTTACTGCCCAGGGCTTGGATCACTGAGCGGCGACGTGAACAGTCATGTCACTGTAGTTTGACCACTGGCCTTTTCCAGCTGGAATAGTTCAATCTCTCTGTAACATGGGGTTCACGCACAGACACGCACACATGCCATGTTATTTTACCTTGACCACAGTTTTTGTAGTTGTCAAATTCTTCAGTGCTTCCCGGTACCATCAGTTGATCCCCATCAGCGTAAACACTCCCGTTGTGTAAGCCAGCTGAGCTTCCTCTTAGGATTAGATCATTCTGTGTAGGTGTACACAAACACTACATGGTGTAGAGTTGTGTAAGCTCACAAGCACAAAAAATAGGCCTTTTTTTCCCTCTTCACCCCCCCCACACCCACACACACACACACACACACACACACACACACACACACAGAAACTCTCTATTCACTCTCACTTTCAGCTGTCTCACTCTCACCTTCCCACTCCCTCTGTTCCACCATCTCTGCTGCTTTACACCGTCTCCTTACCTTTCTCTCTTATATCTTTCACTCTCCTGCTCATCCCTCCCCAACTCCTTGCTCTATATCTACGAAATGATGCAGTTTTTGCTCTTCCTCCTCTGGCGGGTGTGCAGCTGGCCATGAATCGGTCCGTGAAGAGGTCCGTGATGGCCACCTATCCCAGAGGGACTGTAGCGATGGCGTCGCTCCTCGTTATTGATGTAGCACAGCTGCACGGGCCGAGGGATTGGTTCTCCCATAAAATAAGCCTCTTCTTCCTCAGACTCGGAGGAAGAGGAGCAGCTAGAGCACCAGGGGTCAGCAGCCTCCATGTACCCATCGCCCCAGCACGGCCCGCCCAGGCCGACAGGTTGCCAGCCAGCATTCTGCAGGGTAAGATCAGAAGTGGTGCGGGGACAGGGCCGGTGAAGCTGCTGCCTGTACCCGCCCGGGTCCAGCCCGAACAACTCCCGTGCAGCATGACCAGAGGGGAAACGATCATAATCCTCCTGAACGCGACGGTACGGCGGCTCCATCATTTGAGCAGGCCGGTCTGCCACCAGGTGCAAGGCGTTGTCAGAGCGAGAGCGGCGAGAGCGTTTGTGGTGGCGGCCACTGCGGTGCTGGCCGTTGCCGTTGTTCCCACGATGGTGTTTGCGGCGTCTGGGTTGTGGCTGCTGGTTCTGGGTCACAGATTCCTGCCCGCTTAAGCTTCGGCGGGGCATTCTGTCACTCATGGGAGCCATCCGCAGATTCCCACTGCTGCCCATCACCCCGACACGACCTTTACCATCAAAGCCGAGCGGCTGTGGGCCATCCCAGTACTGCAGTGGGTAGCCGACTCTCAGAGGGGTGTACATGTTGTTGTTGTTGTATGGGCGGGAGGAGGACAGCGATTCTGTGCTGTGGAACTGGACTGAGGAGCTGAGGGTACCCATGTTGCTCTTTTCAGACACATTTACACCTGAATCTTTACTCAGGTCAGGCATGGAAAACCTTGACAGATGCTCCTGACGCTTGCTGACTCCATCTAGAGAGTTACCTGTTACAAGAAAAAATAAAAAAATAAAATGTCATTTTTTTATATAATCTCATATAAATGACCTTAACTTTAGGCTTTTTAACCCCATACCTGTAGCATTAGACATAGTTAGGGAGTCCATGGATCCACGAGGGGTCTGTTCTAGAGGAGTGAGGGGCTCGTTAAAGCTCATGGCATTGATAGGGTTCCTCCTGGTCAGTGGGGGTCTTCCATTTCTCTGGAATCCATGCAGACTGATACTTCTCTTGTCAGAGAAACCCTGATTCTGGCTAGACATCTCATTGAAGCTCATCTGGGTGCGCAGCTTGTTGGGTCTGAACTCATCCTGGCTGTGCTGCATCCAGTTTTCATT